TATATATATATATATATATATATATATATATATATAAAAAAAATACCTTTGTATTCAATATACATTTTCTAAAAATAAGTCTAATAATAATATATTATGTATATAATATGCTTTTTAGCTAAATGTACATCTTGTTTTAAGGATGTTTAGATATTTTTACTGGAAATAACAATACTGATTAAAAAAAATTATTCAAAAAATTTTTTCAAACCTGAAGAACCGTTCAGCTTCATCTCAAAGTATCTCCTCCCACGTGCGTCCCCAAATTCAAGACTTTTCCCGTCATTGTTAGGATTGACGTAAGTGGCCAGCGAGCTGGAGCTCTCCTCAGAGATGAGCGACCGTAGCGGGAGACCCTCGGGGTCTGAATCCACCAGAGACTGATCCACGGATGGAGAGCGCAGAAGTTTGTAGTATTGTGTTTCTGCAGGCATTCGCACTTCAAGATCCTGAATCTTAGACATGCACCAGCTTTTCACAGCATTGGTAGCAGCTATCTTCTTGAAAGATAAAAACAGAGCAACATAAGTTTGATCAATCATGTCTAGTCTGATGCGATTGTGGTTGTGCATCTCTTCTCTTATGGTGTTGTACCTGTTTTCTCTCGCCCTCCATGCGTTCCAGGGTGGCTCTCTGATTGATTCGATAATGACACTCCATCCCTTCAGCCGACACACGCTCCTGTGTGAGTTTCTCAAGAACTTTTATCTGAACAGAAAGAGATATGAGTCTCTAACACCCACATTTTCACTGCCATTGGTTTTGGAAGTGATTTTCCAATTTATTTTATCCATAGGGATTACAAAGAGTCATGCCTTTCTTCTTGTAAGTTATTTAATGGTACTACTTATATTCATATACATGTTTCAAATACATTTTTCATTCAAATTCCTAGAATGCCAAATTCATCAATAATCTTATTAACTTATTTTTTATTTATATTACACTATTCAGAAGTTCAGGGTCAGTAAGATTTTTTTCTTTTTTCTTTCATTCAACAAGGATGCATAAAATGGATTAAAAGTGACAGTAAAGACACTTATAATGTTACAAAAGATTTATATTTCAAATAGTCTTATTATGAATTAAACAATTCAAATGATTAATCCTGAAATAAATAATCCTGAAATAAATAATCCTGAAATAAATGTATCACAGTTTCCATAAATACAGTATATTAAAGCAACACAGCTGTTTTCAATATTAATAAATGTTTCCTGATCACCAATTCAGCATATTGGAATAATTTCTGAATGATCATGTGACACTGGGCTAATGGCTGCTGAAAATTCAGCTTTACCATCACAGGAATAAATTACATTTTAAAATAATAAAACAGAATAGTTATTTTAAATTGTAATAATATATTACAGTATTACTATATTTTACTGTATTTTTATTTTAAAAATGCAGCTTTTGTAAGCATAAGAGACATTTTATAAATATATTTGTAAAAAATTGACCAAACTTTTAAAAAGTAATGTACAGTATGGGTTTCATCTCCAAGTCTAGAGGTTAGATAGGTATTCTGTAAGTTATGAAGGAAATTTTAAACAAAAAATTTGCAATATCACAGCAAACGACAAACCTGGTGCTTGTTTTTTTGCTCTATTCCGCCCAGCCTGCAATTGATCTCCTCTTGGACAGTGTGAATTTCTGACCGCATCTCCATCTTTGCGGCTTTCAGCTTATTCTCCAGAGTTTTAATGAGGAGCTTACAATGACAGTCATTCGCAGGAGCCTGTTTGCAGACACTGGTTAAGAGGTTCAAAACAAACAAATGCATTGCACTAACTCTAATGTAGAGTTTACCTGCTTTATCTGTCCATCTTTATCCCTGTATAGTGTATAAAGCTGATAGGCTTTTCCAGGAGCTTCCTCTTGCTCCTGAGAGCTGGGGCTGCTGTGTTTTACTCTCTGGGATGGAGATCCTCTTTCATGTAGCTGATACTCTCTCCGGAACACATGTTCCAACTTTTTTAACTGCAAAAACATATTTAGAATTATTGAACAGAGTACTTTTTTAAATGTTCATTCTAGAGCAGGAATTATTAAAGAGCATAGGTCACATTAGAAGGAAAAAATTGTCAGGTAAAATGTCTCACCTAAAAATGTGATGGCATCTAAATGAACTTATTTTATTTAAGACAAAAATAATTAATGAGTGTACCTGATTATAATTCATATTATTAAAAAAAATGTCATTACTGCAAAATAAACCCTCTAAATATCAACATACATTAACACTGTACATCATGGTATATTGGTATATAGAATAATAATATAGTATGAAATATTATAATAGGTATTAATTAATAATGATATAAATTTAATATCTCTACCTGTCTTGGGCTCCTGATCTTTCTCCTCGTGCTCGTGCTCAGAGTTGCTGTTTTTCGTTCAGGTTGATGCACTTGATCACAGTTCTTTTTGTCTTCTGCCACTTCAGTATAGTCCTGCACAATGATGGGAGTGCTTAGCATGACAGGGATATTTAGGCGAAAACAATCACATGACCTCTGATCTCTTTTAGGGTTATGGAAGCTTAGTAGTCATGTGACATTTTCTTCTCACTGGCCCCTAGACCCCAATCATATTACAAACGATGAATCTGCAACAGCACAGATGTTGTTCTAGATGGGTGAATCTTATCTGAATTTTCCACCTTCTCTCGGGAGGAATGAACTCTGGGGAGGGACTGAGTTCTCCTCTGGGCCCGCAAGACATCTCTTCGTTTTCTCACAGTTCTTCCACGAGCAAACCGCTGCACCTAAGCAGGGACGTACAACCTGAGTTATGCTACTGATTAAATAAGCATTGAAGTTTGGATGGTTATTTAATTTAGCACCTGCTGGTAGATGCTGTAACTACACCAGGATACATGTAAATAACTAACAAAACTAACACCTATGCCACACCTGTGAGGTGGATGGATTATCTCTGCAAAGGAGCAGTGCTCACTAACACAGATTTAGACAGATTTGTGAACAATATTTGAGAGAAATAGGCCTTTTGTGAACATAGAAAAAGTCTTAGATTTTTGAGTTCAGCTCATGAAAAATGGGGGCAAAAACAAAAGAGTTGCGTTTATAATTTTGTTCAGTGTATATATAATGTTTTTTTTTTTAAATAACTAATAAAAATCACAAAAACACAATAAAATTGTATTAATAATAATATTAATTAAACAAAAACTTTAACTAAAATGAAAATGAAATAAAAACTACAAAAAAAAAAATATATATATATATATATATATATATAAAAGAGCATATTTTTGCATTTCACTGGTGTGCCTTCCATAGTTGTTGTTTTTTTGTTGTTGTTGCAAACAATATGTTTGACCATTTAGCTCACATCTTAGGTTTTTTTGCAGTGTATCGACTGTCTTATACAGAAGAGATCAGGTGAAAAGTTGTTCACCTTTTTGAAAATATCTTTCCAAAGCTTGTGTTTTGTTCATTACACTGAGCTTTGCTATTTTTAATGCAAAAACGTGTTCTGTGTGAATGGCCTCTACAGTATCTGTAGAGAATGTTCATCGACTCGTGATTGTGTTCTGAATCATTTATCCACCAATTAATTTAAAAACACTGAATCATTTAGAAATGAATGAGGAGATTGCCTTTGAGTAAGTCATTGAGTCATTCATCAAACCGGTTTGTTCAGTAGAGCTTATTCAATCAAAAGTAATGCTTTGCTAGTTAGAGCAGGACAATGAACTGCTTCTAAATGGAAAACTTTGAATGTAATAACATTACTTACCTGGTTGGATTTTGCTAACAGAATAGCTAAATCTCGGTTGTTATTGTCCTGGGCTTTATCAAGAGCAGTGTGGCCTGTCTGTTGATAGATTTAGTGTGTAAATAAATCGTCATTTAGCAGACGCTGTCATTCTTTACAATCCAATTTGTGAAGCCAACTGTAGGTTGAGCTATAGCATCATCCAACCCCAGCCCCCATTACAACTTACGTTCATAATAACTATACAATAATAAAGAGATTGAGGCATATCATGAGATTACATGTCTTACATTGTTTTTGATGTTTGCGTCAGCTCCTGCTTCCAGTAACAGATTGACAGTTTTCTTGTGATTTAGGGCAGCAGCGACATGGAGCGCAGTGTCTCCTATCTGTAAAATATGTTGATTTTCCACAAGATTATGACCACAATAAATTGTAATTGTAAGCAATTACCAGGATAAGATGCTGTAATCTAAACCGCAATCTAGCAGTTTAAAGCAGACAAAGACCATTTTAATTTTGTTTATTTGTCTCAGAATTTTTCATTGTGTGCCACTTTATTATGGTTTGTTGAAGTGTAAAATAATACACTATCAAGCCATAATTAATTATGTAGTTTTGTTTTCTTTTGACAGTTAAAAGCATAATTGCTTAGACAAAATCATTTAGAAACTAGTCACAGCAGTGAAAAAATATAAACCACATTGGTGCTGGATTCAAAACAATCAGAATGAGGATCTGACCTGGTTTTTCTCAGCCACAGAGCAGAAAGAAGCCAAGAGGATCTTAATCATGGCCAAGTGATTGTAGCGTGCTGCAATGTGTAAACATGTGTCACCTGCCTGGAAGGAAAGAAATTATTGCACTGCTTTTTCAGGATTTAAAATTGAACTTTTTACTTTCAGTTTGCAATTTATATAATCATTTAAAAAAGATTGTAATGATTTTAGACGAGTGCACAATCACCTGCCCACACTGCCAAAAGCACCAAAAGTTGGTTAAATGACCATGGTGTTGGTGTGCTTGACTGGCCAGCAAACTCACCAGACCTGAACCCCATAGAGAATCTATGGGGTATTGTAAAGAGGAAAATGAGAAACAAGAGACTATAAAATAGCAAATCATGGTGTTTCTAGGCTGTAGCCAATCAAACCCTAAAAGCTGATTGGTGGAAAAGAAGCCCTTTTTGTCTATGTATGTATTTGAATGTATGTTGGTTTAAGTTTGTGTTATCAAAAGTTCCTTCTGTTGTCTAAATGAAAAGCCCATCAAAAAATGTTTTAAATAATAATATAAATAAAAGCTGATAGCTTTTGAATCTCCTGCTTCAAAATGAAACACTTAAACACAGGAAAGAAATCTTTTCTTTTTCAAAACTTCTTTTGTAAAATATATATATATATATATATATATATATATA